TTTTTTTTTTTTTTTTACAGAGAACCGTCATATCCTTGGGGCTCGGTTAATAATAGCAATTTTGCGCATAGTGCTTCGACAAATCACTGTACGAAACCTTGAATCAAACCACGTAATCCCGTGTGATTATGGTATCAAGGCTACCGTTTGTGACATCGTTTGTAATTAATTTTATAAAATCTAAACAGTGATCTGAGAATGTGGTTTCTTGTTCCCGCCGTACGAATCGATACTGTAACGAATTATCAGAATTAATCAGACTAATGTTTATCTCGAATACGAAAGTTAACAAGTTAAGGCAGCGCGTGTTACGTAACGACGGAAGTTTAAGAATTCGGAAATGCGCGTCCAAGTCAACTTGCGTCTCGCAGTTGCGTAACAAATTAACAAGGAACGCTGTTGTTTCAAGAAACGTCCCCTTTCACAAACTTGACAAAACGACGTACCTCAAAGGAGGATGCATCATCCGCGCCAGAATCAGAAAATGACTGTATCGGTTTCGTCGATTGCACAACTATCGACTTGCGATCGACGCATCGCCGTCTATTGTATTACGCGCGTTACGTGTTTTTCATCACTGGCCGTACGTACGTAGGCCGTGCTCTCGGCCGGTTCCGGGTGAACTCGGGCGTGCTCGTCACCTCGTACGACAAGTCACATATAATCGATACATTGGAGTCCGGAGCCCAGTTTAGTTATCATCTACGTTCCGTCGTGTTGTTTTTATTGCGTCGAGTGCATCATGAGAGTGCGTACGCGTGCGTCGTCATCCACGCACAGAGATTAATACACATCGGTCTCCGCCGCTTTCTTGTGCGATCCAGTTGAACAATAAGATGCACTTTGAAAATGTTGCAAGAGGAAGCTCTGTACAAGAGCACATCTCCACGGTAAGTGGTCGGAACAGAGGAGAGTAGTAGTTTTTTTTTTTTTTTTTTTTAGTGAATCTTCGCTCGCAATCGTTGCCCGTCTTCTCCCGTCCTCCACGACTGTTTCCCATTCGTTCGAACCCGAATGCACAGTTTCCAAAAATAACGCAGCGTCGTTCAAGGAGTGTACTGTCCTGCCGCCTAAGCGTTGCTAATTATAGTCCTTTAAAGACACTCAGAGGAAATTACAGTCTATCGAGAGTATCTCGTAAGCAGTTGTCCAAGAGCCCCCCCGTTCGGAGTAATAAGATTTCGAGGCGTAGGTTATTCGAAGATTCGACAGTATTATCGATTCTTCTTTGCATAACGATGCTGTAACAACGAGCGTGTCGTTCCAACAGCAAAGATTTACGATGAAATGAAAATCGCGAGAATACGCGCACACTGTGCCAGTGAAAACATTGTCACACGCTCGAAAAGGATATGTTATATAAAGATTCCTGTCCTTGGAAGTTGCACGCACTTAAGGAAAGTAACGCGAGGATGACAGGATCGTTTTCATAAGTTTAATTGTCCCAGAAAATTTTATATACTTCATAAAATAAATTATTACTCTGTTGATGCACATGATTATTAATATATTTAAATGTAAATAATATTTGAAATTTTTTTTTTT